AGTTGGTACCCATCTCCAGTCTTCTGGCTTGGACTTCTCTTCAATCTCTGCAAGTCGATTGGCCACGAAAGTTTTAAATTTCCTTGGTTCCGCTTTTATCCAGTGCAGTACTGTGCTGGAGTCGGTCCAGTAGGTTTTCTTTGATATTTAGAGCTCTGACTCCTCTATTCTTCTTCTTCAATTGTGGCGGCTAGTCTGCTTCCGCCGCCGCCTGCTAACGCCGCTTGTAGCTCTAGCCTCGGAATTGATACTGGTTTCGTCAGTATTACCTGTGCTTTGCCGGCGATCATGGAGACATGGACTTTCCCTCCGGGCTCGACTGTTCTCCAGTAGACTACGACTGCGTAGGCTTCTTCACTTGCATCGGTGAACGTATGCAGTTGTCCTTTTCTGCCATTGGGTGAGACGCATCTTGAAATCTTCAGCTTTTCTAATGTCGATACTTCTTCTAAGTATTTCATCCAGGCTTCCTTTTGTTGTTCGTTAATTGGTTCATCCCAGTCTATTTTCTTTCGCCAGATATCTTGAATTAATTTCTTTCCTTGTATCAGGACCGGTGTTGCAAAACCCATTGGATCGAAGGTGGACATCACTGCGCTTGTGACTTCTCTCTTTGTTGGAGTTCTTCTGCCATCTTGCAGATCCTTCGACGTGTTGTGTAGCCCGACGTTGAAAGCCAATGCATCTTCTTTTACTAGCCATCTCAGCCCCAGAGTCTTTTCTTCCTTTGTCAGTTGCAAAGAGTTTTCTTTATTGGTGTCTTTTACTTCTGATAGTACCCCTGAATTGTTACTGGCCCAACCCTTCAGATGAAAGTTTGCTCTTGCGTGAATATCTTTCACTTCTTTGGATATCTTCTTTGCTACGGTTGTAGACGCGAAGCTCTGTAGATAATCGTCCATGTAATGGTTTCTTTTGATTGCTTTCACTGCTTCGGGATGAGTGTTCTTAAATTCTTCTGCGTTCTTATTCATTACGTATATTGCCGTTGCCGGTGATGACGCTGCCTCAAAGATGATTGAAGACATTCTAGACTCTTCAAGCTTGCCAGTTCTTTGGCTTCCGCGCCACAAGAACCTGAGACTGTCTCGGTCGTCTTCTCTAACTTTGACTCGGAGGAACATATCTTGTATGTCAGCCATGACGGCCACTGGTCCCTCTCTGAAGCGCATCAGTACTCCAAATAGTGACTGTAACAGGTCTGGGCCTGAGAGCAAGGCGTCGTTGAGGCTCTTCCCTTCATACTTGCAGCTGCGTCGAACACTATTCTCAGCTTCTTCGTAACTGGGTGCACAACAGCGAAGTGGGTTAAGTAGAATGTTCTTCCTTTGCTGGAGGTTTCTGGAGCTATCTCTGCGTATCCCTTCTCAATTAGACTCAGGATCTGCTTCTCGTAGTGCTCTTTTGCTTCTTGGTCTTGATCTAGTTTCTTCTCGATGTTGACTAGGCGTCGGATTGCTTTCTTGTAATTATTGGGTAGGGTTTCGTCTTCTTTTTTCCACAGGAGTCCTGTTTCATATTGACCGCTTGGCAGTTTCTTTGTAGTCTTCTCAAGGGTTTCTAATGCTCTTCTGTTGCTGTCGTTGGTTGGCGACCGATTTTTAATCCCGAGAGATTCCAACTGAAAGTGTTCTCGGACGATTTCCTCTATGTTTTCTTCATCAGTGGTCGCTCTGCCATAGTGAGCAAAGTTTACTGTTGCAGTTGCTCCTGTTTCACATCCGTGTAACACCCACCCTAAGTTTGTGAGGGAGGCTACAGGATCTGCCCCCTCACTTAGGTGCCATCTTCTTTAGCTTTCTTGTTACTATTAGTCCCCAGATGTCTTGGCCTATCAGTAGCTCGGTCTTTCGGTGACGTAGAGGAGTTGGCTTTCAATTGCCTTTAGATGGTCGCAGTTTCTCACGGTGTCCTTGTTTATACATTGTTCAGACAGCTTCAGGTCGTCGATGGTCCTTGCTACGATAGTTCTCTTTTCTCTTGTGTGAGCCCCTTTTATTTTGAACTCGATCTTCTGTGAACTATCTTTTTTCAACACCTTCCCGCCGACTGTTTCGATCGTAAGTTTTTCTTGCTTCCCTTCGACTCCGATCTTCTCAGCGATTGATGCGTCTAAGAGTGTAACCGTTGACCCTTTGTCTAGTAATGCTAATACGCGAACTTGGCCTTTTGGGCCTTAGAGGTTCACTGGGATCATCTTCAGGTAGGCCTTCTCTTCTCCTTTGGCGTTGTGAATTGAGGCGACCTTTTCTTCTGACGTGCTACTGGTATCTTTTTACTTCGCTTCTTTTTCTATTGGTGCTAGTGGTTTGTCGGAATGCAAGATGGTATGATGCCATTTTTTACACAACTTGCAGACTGGGGCTTTACAGTTGATTCTTGAGTGCTTAAATCGGAGGCACTTGAAGCATATCTTTGCCTTCTTGGTCATATCCCATTTTCCATTCAGGTTAGCTTCTTTGAACTTTTTGCATTCTAGTGCGAAGTGTTCTTCTTCACAGAAAGGACATGACTTCTTATATTTTTCTTTTGATGCTTCTTGTACCAAATGAACGGGTTTTCCTATTCCTCTCTTTTGGTCTGAGGATGCTTCAGGCGGAGCGAAGTCCCCGCACATGTCGGCTTCTGTTTCTAGGAACGCTTCGACGAGTAATAGCTCCTGAATTTCTTCATCTCTTAACCTCTGCTTCTGTGGTAAGCAAACCAACGAAACTTCATTGATGTCGGCATCTTGTCCACTATAACTCTCAGTGTTTCAGGGGAACTGAGATACTGTGGTTTCTTAAGGGCTTTGATTGTCTCGACGGCGTTCTTCAATTTGCTTGCAAATACGCATATGTCGCTTGGATTCCCGCTGACTTTGATTACTTCGCGTGGGTCTTCAGCGGTGAACAGCAGGCTTTGGACAGCTTCTCTAGCTTTTCCTTGGATCGCTATTCTAAGGCGCGCTAGGTTCTGATTATTACTGAAAGAAGCGGCCATATCCTCGTATGATCTCTTGAAAGGCAACCATTCTTCACAGGCCCCGTTGAAGTGAGGGAGTTCGAGGTGCTTTGGAGAAACGACGTCACGTGACTTCTCAGATAATTTGACTGAAGCCAGTTCCTGGATGTCACTCTTCTTTTCTTCTGCCTCTATCGGTTTGTGGTTTTTATTAGGCATGTCTCCGGTCTGGATGAACCACCGCTCGACTTCTCGAGTTCGTTCGAACAGTTCTTCTCCGGCACCATCTTCTTCTTCTGACTCCGCGATGAGAAGATCTAGTTCCGCTTGAGCAACTTTTGACCGAGCTTCTGCCAGTTCTAGTTCCCTTAATGCCATTGTCATTTTTGCTTGCGCTTCTGCTCTCTTCCTATGCGACGAGCGAACAGAATGTGTGTCTAGATCGCGGGTCGTCTTCTTAGGGTGAGGCCGCTGCAGACTCTTTTCTCTGGACGTTGGTATGCTTTCCTCGTTCAGACATGTTTTCACTGCGATACTTCTTTCTTGAATCTGCGGCGTTGGATGACTCTCTTCTTTGTCAGGAACTGACGCTTCGACGGTGCGGGTCGGGGGAGGGGAGTAAGGGTTACGTCCTCCGATGTTGATTCCTCTCCTGCAATGTTTTTGGTATGTAGTACGGGTTGTCTGTGTACGCTGCTGGGCGGTGATCTTGTAAGCGTCGATCGATTTGAAATTGACGCGTTCATAGTCGTCATGCTTGTAGACTCACTCGGCGTATTCATACTCCAATCCGTCGTACTGGTACCCGTAGTAGCGTTACTTTCACTCGTAGTCTTCGACTGCACTGATTTTGATCTTGTATTTGAAGGCATCTTCCTAGTATTCCTTGAACCCGATCCGGCTTTTCGAAGGACCAATGTTGATGCTCGTGTGTGAGTATGTTAGTAATGGAGCGGGTTTGCTGGCGGGATGATAACTGGAGAGCATGCAGTAGCAGTAGGATGAGCAATAATAACACTTCTTCAGAGTTTTCTTCTATTTATTTTCTTGATGTTTTATTCTTACATTGCCGGATTTGGAATGTTTTAACCACAAAAAACGCCCCTTTTTTATAGGCAATTTTGACCAATCACAATGGTTAAATTTTGCACACGGCACTAATGTATTGCACACGGCACTAATGATTTCCCGTCAACCAATCAAAGCGCAGGGCGACCTTTTCTAAGGGAAACTTACAAATTTCTTTTATTTTTGTGGTAAATCATCCCTTACAATGTTTTTATATATTTCTGATATTAGAACTAGTTTATATTTGCCATCTTAAACATTAAACATCCTTCATATCCTTATTTTACACCTTTAATAAATAAAAATACTGAAGCGGTCTTCTCACGGTGTAGCTCCCTAGTAGCTAATACTGGAGCGGTTTTCTCACGGTATAGCTCCCTAGTAGCTAAGCTTTTTCCTGCGTTAAATACACGTAGCGCCGCCAGGCGGCAGGAATGCACAATGCTTATCGTGATAACAACATTACGCTTAATCTTAAGACTTTATGCAGAATACATTAAATTTTTTTAATTGACTAAGATCTATTTTTATAATAGAAAACGAAATTATACAAGTAGTTAAGTCACGTATTGTCGTAGTTTTTAAATTACAATAAAACAGAATTAAACAAGTGATTAAATTTACACTTCGTTGCTAGCATTTCTAATGTAGTTTTTTAGATTATAAATAAGAATGAAGTTAAAATAGTAATTAGATTCACTTTTCATTACTAACACTAACAGTCTTTACGTAGTTTCTGATCACAAATAAGAATAAAATGGAAATAAGCAATTAGATTCACTTTTCGTCGCTAACAACCATGATCATATATATGCAATATTGTAATAGCAGCCTATGTACTTATTTTGTGAGACTTGGTATTTCTTAACGAATTAATGAATATCCTTGATTGAAAGACAATGGATGTTCGGTACATACAAGAATGTGGAATATATTAAAAATGAATCTATGTTTTATTTTTAATATATTCCACATTATTTTTGGCTTACTCAGTAATAGTGTCCGTGATAATTCCCTGTGGTATAGTGTCGTTAAGTAGCGTATTGTCCACCACCACTGTCAGCAAGTTGCTCGCCTTTGGATACACTGCGTCTGTAATTTCCACCTCGAAAGGCAGGTGGCCGATTTCGTGGTACGCTATCAACTTCCCATTCACCCACTGAAACAAAAACGTTTGTTGCTATTTACTAATTTGTAGTGACTATAATTTAATAATTGTAGTTTTATTTCTATAGAATTACCAAAACATTTATATTGACCTGCAAGAATTTAGAGTATTTCTTATAAAAGTTCTAATTTAGCAATAAATCATAGGAAAAATCAGAATTTTCCTCTTGTTAAATAATAATTTAAGTCAAAGTATACATTTATTTCAGTAGGTACTAAGTATCGAGTATTAATAATCCTATACATAGCTAACACATTAATAGATACAACATTACTTAGTTATTGATACTTAATTATTAGACAGTATATGAATTAGGAGACTAGTGGCCCTCCCTAATAAAACAGCAATTTTGACAAATTTTTTTTATTTATTTATCAGCTGAACTTTTATCGTCAAGCGGTCAATTGTTAGTTAAATGATTAGTATTCATTTTAAATTAATTTTTGTGTTATTCAAATATTAATTACTTATGAATTAATAAGGTAGGCAGTAGTGCTGTCTGCTTTGTGTTCAATTAATTGCATTTACCCAAAATGCCTATTAATTACCCCTGCATTGTTTATATGACCTTGTATTATTACCGTTATACTATTTTATTAAAGCTGATTAATTGTAACCCATTCATTGTCCCGTGCACTACAATATAGTTCATTACTATTATTTTGCTATTTTGTCTGAAAATCGGACAGCGAAAGTGTAAGTTTTGCAAGACCCGCCGCAGAAGAACACAAAAACTCGCCGATCACACTCTTAATCTCATGGCTGTTAGACGGGAGATGAGGCTGCAATCGTCAACAGATTTGACAGCATACAGGCAACTGAACAGACAGATCTCCAAATGCATGCGGCAAGACTTGCGCAACTTCAATACTGCTCGCATTGAAGAAGGGCTCCAAAGTCTTTGCCAGAGATCTGTCTGCCAGTAAGAGACAACTGTCAAAGCTGAAGACTGAGTGTGGCAACATCGTTTCCGGGACACCTGAGATTCTGAGTAAGATTGAGAGGTTCTATGGGCAGCTGTACACATCATCGTTGGAGCCACACGCAAGTGTAAGTAACGATCCAAGAGCAAGTCTTATCCGACACTATTCCGATGATATCCCGGACGTCAGTCTGAGCGAGATTAGAATGGCTCTCCAGCACCTTAAAAACGGCAAGTCTCCGGGCGAGGATGGAATTACAGCAGAGCTTCTGAAAGCGGGTGGAAAACCGGTACTTGAAGTCCTTCAGAGGCTCTTTAATTCCGTCCTCCATGGTGGCACTACTCCGGAGGCGTGGAGCAGAAGTGCGGTGGTCTTGTTCTTTAAGAAAGGTGACAACGCCCTTTTGAAGAACTACAGACCGATATCCCTTCTGAGCCACGTTTACGTGCTGTTTTCGAGAGTCATTACGAATCAGACTAGACGACTTCCAGCCTCCCGAACAAGCCGGTCTCCGAAAAGGCTTTAGTACCATAGACCACATACATACCCTTCGGCAAATTTTACAGAAGTCCGAAGAGTACAATCTGCCACTTTGCCTGGCGTACGTGGACAATGAGAAAGCCTTTGATTCCGTCGAAATTTGGGCGGTGCTACAGTCTCTTCAGCGGTGCCAAGTTGACTCTCGGTATATCGAAGTGCTGAAGTGTTTGTACAGTAGGGCTACGATGGCTATCCGAGTACAGAACCAGAGTACGAAACCTATCCAACTGCAGAGAGGTGTAAGACAGGGTGACGTTATTTCCCCGAAACTCTTCACCGCTGCATTGGAAGACGTTTTCAAGCTACTGGACTGGAAAGGATACGGCATTAACATCAATGGCGAATACATCACTCACCTTCGATTTGCCGACGATATAATCCTCATGGCAGAATCGCTGGAGGACTTAAGCACTATGCTCAATGACCTCAATGGTATCTCCCAACGGATAGGTCTTAAGATGAACATGGACAAAACAAAGATAATGTTTAATGTCCATGTCACACCTATGCCGGTAGTTGTTGGGAGCACTAAGCTCGAAGTTGTTGACGAGTACGTTTACCTGGGACAAATAGTCCGACTAGGTAAGTCCAACTTCGACCGAGAGGTCAATCGACGGATTCAACTCGGCTGGGCAACGTTTGGGAAATTATGGCGCATCTTCTCGTCAGGTATACCTCAAAACCAGAAAAATAAATTGTACAACCAGTGCGTGTTGCTTCGGTTCCATAGTGATGACTTATGGAACCGAGACGTGGTCCTTCACTGCTGGCCGTATGAGGACGCTCAAAGTCGCTCAGCGAGCTACGGAGAGGACTATGCTCGGAGTTTCTCTGCGTGATAAACTTAGAAATGAGGATATCCGCAGTAGAACCAGAGTGACTGACATAGCCCAACGGATTAGTAAGCTGAAGTGGCAATGGGCCGGCCATATAGCTCGAAGAATCGACAACCGTTGGGGAAGAAGGGTTCGCAAGTGGTAGCCTCGTACCGGTAGGCGAAGTGTAGGGCGACCCCCCACTAGATGGAGGGACGACCTGGTAAGACATGCAGGAAGTCGATGGATGCAGGTGGCTCAGGACCGTGCTTTGTGGCATACCTTGGGGGAGCCCTTGTTTAGCAGTGGACTTGTGAAGGGCTGTAATGATGATGATGATGAAAGTGTTAAAGATCACTTGCTGAACATAAACCTACCCCACAGGTTGCCAGTTAAGGGCGATATTTGCCATAGTTGCCACGCTCGGTAAGCGGCTTGACAACCGCAGTTTTTTATTTTAAGTCGTGATTAGGAAGACGCTGCTGCCCATATCCTGATCTGTTTCCCTCCATCGCCTCTTACGACACCCACGGGATGATAATATGGAGTAGTGGATTCTTACAACGCCGTGACACGGTTTGTATTATTAATTTATTAACTAATTTCACAAAAAAGCGATAAATTTAGTCGAAATAATATATTTCGACGTATATTATAGAATAAATTTCTTCGTAAGGTTTGACCCAATTTTGAGGATTCCTTTATTATCAAATATGTTTTACTGCTAAGGTACAAAATATAAGTTTGGACAAAAATACAATGACTAAGTTTTATTTTTATAGGATTAGGTGTGTGACAAACGAGCTCACAGTTCACCTGATAGTAGTAGTTGATGTTGCCCATAGACATCTACATCTACCTTCGATTACGAACCAAAATGCAGATGCGTTGTCACCCGTGAGGAATAAGATAGAATGTCTCGTTTCCAGTAAAATGGTATTCGGTTCTCTACACTCACCATACGAAACACAACAGCGTTAGGCTGCTATTTTACGCCGGCATTCTGTGAGAGCGTGGTCCTTCTCCGGTCGATTCGATCCACTCGTGCTCGTGCACGTCATTCTTTTTAGTTCTTTGATGTTGAGTTTTACTTTCCAGTAAAAGTTAATTTCAGATATACCATTAATAATATAATACTGTAATATTCCTGTTTTGCTATTACGATTTCTTTACAATAACTTTTTTTATGTTTTGGTATATAAAATAGCAGATTTGGCATCGACAATTGTTCAGAAAATACAACTTTTGCCTTTAGGATTTGATTGTGTCGTATTTGTTCTTGATCTTGAGGGCTTATTGTGGCATTATATTATTCCTCGAAATTAAAGACAAGAATGTTAGAAAGACTGAGCTGCAGTAATCCTTACTTCTTCTTCTTAAGATAATTGATAGAATCAGGCGTTACTTTGCGGAAATCCATTACAATAAAGAAATTAATTAATTTGTAACCTTCCGCTAACTAAATACAATGATGTGTCTTACCTGGATTGAAGTGCACCTCCCGCCCTCCCTCAATTGCATGCACCAATCCCGTCACCACCTAATCCCAGCACTACCACTACTCACGGCACCACTACTCCCAGCACCACTACTTCAGGAAAGACACACCATCAACGATAATACGACACGTGTTTCGCCTCTATACGAGGCATCCTCAGGTGATGTAGACTCTACGGCGGCTGACCGCTAAGTATCTTAGCTCTTCAATCCAGGTAAGACACATCATTGTATTTAGTTAGCGGAAGGTTGCAAATTAATTAATTTCTTTATTCTTCTTCTTAAGTTAAATAGGTATAAGTTCAAAATAAGTTTCATTTATAACAACCCATCAAAAGTCTGCTACTCCCTATAGATTGTATTAAATATGACCAGAAATCATATTCTCTGTATTTTTTATTTTATTCAAATAAATCCACCTTCAAAAGTGAATAATAGGCTAACATTTCCGAAATTACGAGACTGGCTGTTGCACGGAACAACTAACCCCAACTGCTGTTTTTAAACTAAATTAATATTTTTTGTTGCTGTAGACCATGGAACTATGTTATAAGCGCAACATATGAATTATTGTTAGGTCGGGCAGCACCTGCGATGAACAACCAGTGGCCTCTTTATATATACTATAATATTTTGAATATATAAATACGCCAAAAAAAATGCGTTGACTGATAAAATAGTCTACAACAAAAAAAAAAAGGTTATTAAAGGGTAAACAGTAAAACAAAGATAAAAGCTAAAAAAATCCAAAGAAAATGTAAAACGAGTGTTACAAGAAAACGAAAGTTATACTGAGTACGATCTAAAGTAGTTTTGTCTAATTCTAATTTGCTGCGTTATGTATTCTAATTCACTGTCAAGAGAACAGTGGATACAATATATAGCATGTAGTAATTAGGCACATTTATAACGTTTAGATAAGGATCCCCTTACCATCCCGTGGATAATGTAAGAGATGACATAGGAAAATTAAACAGTGAAGCAACATGTTTATGATGAATAACATCTCAAAATAATATAATAATAACACTGCGGTTGCCAACTATACCAATCTAGATAGCTATGGCAAGTATCTCCCCTATCAGGAAATCTATGGGGGAGGTTTTTGTTCAGCAATGGACTTTTGATAGGCTCAAATTAATGAATTAACATAACAATAAAAATACTAATAATTATTATGATTTAGTAAATAGACTATATGTCAGCTAACAAAGAT